ACTTACACGCACCATAAATATTTAAGCCTAAGAAGACGTAAGCTTGAAAGCGTTCTCTCCCTTAACCAGTAATGAACCTACTCAAAATATATGATAGAGAAATTAGAAGAGAAGAGATAGAGAGAGGGAGAGTATTCACTCAAACACTCTGGTCACTCAAACAATCTGGGTAGGCGTCGTAAGTATTAAGATCTACTCGATCTACTGGTCCCCGTTCTAGAACTGGGACACTCTTATGCCATAAGAGTTTTCAATTCAGCGTTTGTAGAATTAAATAGGTGGTCACTCAAAAAGTCTGGGGAAACTTCTAGGAATTACATACCCAGGATCTGATAGTCCCCGTTCTAGAACTGGGACACTCTTATGCCATAAGAGTTTTCAATTCAGCGTCTGTTGAACTAAAATGGTCACTCAAACACTCTGGATAAGCGTCTAACTATTACACCCCAGAGATCTACTAGTCCCCGTCCTAGACTTAGTGAACTCAGATGCCATAAGAGTTTTCAATTCAGCGTCTGTGGAATTACTTAGGTGGTCACTCGAACTGCCTAGGGAAGCTTCTAGGAATTACACCCCCCTCTCTCAGATCTATGGAATCAGGTGGTCGCTCAAACAATCTGGATAAGCGTCTAAGTATTACACTCCAAAGATCTGCTAGTTCCTGTATTAAAACTTTAAGATTGAGATGCTAACATAGTTTTCAATTCGGATTTAACCACACTCTCTCTCTCATTTTCTGTCTCATCCTCACTCACTCTCATTTCTCCTGCCCAAACTTCAACGTCCTTTCGTTTTTGACATGTTCGTTCAAGTAAAGCAACATAATTTTCATCTGCCGTTCACATCATATTGAAGTCGCGAGCTAAAACCTCGTTTGTTACCTTGTTACGGCTCTCCATTAATAAAATGCTAAAAATGCCATATTCTGCTTCTATGTTTAGACATTTACCAAGTTTTTGGCTCCGAGGCTTACAGAATTTCATAAATCTTTATTTTCGTATTTGATGTGACAGAGGAAGCATTTTGTATGTGAGATTGGCTAACTTAATATATTTTTCCACCATCATTATCGTCATCATTATCGTCAACGTCATCAACATGATGCCGACTGTCGTTGCCGAACAACTTCCTTTGCAATTTACACTTTAATTAATACGTCAGGATTGCAAAACAATCGCAACATTTGCCGCATTCCACTCATTTCATGGCAATCACAATAATTGTGTGTGTGCGTAAGTGTGAGTGTGTTTGTGTGTGGGTGTGGGCAGTGGAGTGATGTGGCATTTGAATATCCTGGGAGCTCCTTTCAGGCGCAAATGTCAGTGAAGATTATGCCGCCGTCGTCGTCGTCGTCGTCGTCGTCGACTGTCGCCGATAGCACGGGACATGTTCATTGGCCATGGCGTGTGATACGTACGGCCAAAGTGATTCCAATTCCGGTGCTGTCGGCCATTTTGCCATATGAATGAATGAAATATAACAAACAAACACACAAACACACACACACACGCACACATACATACGTACATAGAGAGAGAATGCCACCCACTGTTTGGGTCGTGCCAGCGATTATTAACAATTGGGCCATGCGCGATTTCCTTTAGCCTCGTTTCATCTGGCTTTGCCGTTTTCCATTTCATTACATTTGCCCACCTTTCGCATTTTTGTATTGGTTAAGCATTTCATTGAAATTTACAATTCGCCGTCGACAGTGCGCATCAAGCACCAGACTACGACCCGGACACGAACAGAGACCCAGACCCAGACCCCGACACCAATCCGGGCCCATTGCTGCTGCGTATATTTTTTTTTATTTATTTTTTTTTTATTTTTATTTTTTATTTTTTTGCAACCATCTACTTATTGCATGCTCAACCGCTGAGTGTGTTTTATTGTTTTCCCGCCAGCCGGCAGTGCAGCCTCTCGGCCCTTTTAATCATTTACACTTGGCTAGCGGCTTTTTGCCAGCTCAAAGCCACTTGAAACTTATCGCGCCACGAATGAATTAAAAGCTCAATTCAGGCCTGTTCAGCTGCTGCTGCTGCTGCTGCTGCTGCTGCTGCATTTTGTTTATCGATTGCCACAAGCTCAATCCAACAATAAGTTTCGATAAGCGGCAATTGGCATTCGAGCTGACTTTTCCCGTAATATTGGCGAGCAGTTTAAAGCATATCAATTCATTATTCAACACTGCAGCCAGGCAGCGAATTCCTTTCAGCACTGTCCATTGTCAATGTAATCATTCTCAGATTTCATGAGATCAGATTTCAGCTCTTATTCCATTGCAAATTATTCTAGCTGCTTCATTTCACACACTGAACATAATTTATCATTATTGAATTGATTTCGTATGTAGACTTACACAACACTGAAATCAAGCCAACAAATATATTTATCAGAATTATTATTATTTGATATATTTTTTTTAGAATTCTTTTGAGCACTGAATCCAAGTAATAATGGAAATTATCAACACGGATTTCAAGTTGTATCATTATTTAAAAGTTTTTATCAACACTCAATTGAGGCCATAATAACATGTATTATTATTTTATATATTTTGCAGACTTTTTTAACACAGAATGCAATACATGTGTGTTATGCAACACTCCACATTACTTTAATTATAATTTTAGTTTTTAAATATTTTTATATATTTTTTTATATTTTTTCTCAACACTAAGTCAAGCTCGTGAGTGTTACACAACACTGCATATCTTTTAATTTTTTATTTGTCTACTTTATAGCCCTCAGGAACAGCACTATCCAACACTGCATAATATTCAATAGTCTGTTTGTTTTCATTATACAGAGAGTCCCCGTTATCTCCCACTTTCCTTTACCGTATATCCTGTTCCATGTCTTCTATGAAAGACCATTATCAATTCATAGCTTATCCTAACGAATCTTAATTCGTAAACAGATTATTATTTAATGCAATGAACAGGCCGCAGTTTAGGCCTGATACCAGTTCAGTTCATTTAGATCCGCACTTAATTTCCATAAGAAAGCCGAAACCTTTTCAGGATTTATCCTCCACTTATTGGCAATGCTTTAAGGTGCGGGCTTAAAGGCGGTGCCGGCCTGGCCTCAAGATGAAGTGTGAATTTGTATGACAACAGCTGAAGTAGGCACGGAATATTTTCAACAATATTAGTGTCGGTCAGAATTAGAGGGAAAAGGATGCCGGCCAGCGGACAGAGGACAGCGGACTGCGGACACGCAGCATGGTATCTGTTATCCTGTATCTGGTAGCTGTTATCTGGTATCTGGCCAGCGTTACGGTTCACTGCTTTTCGCAATCCCGAATGCAAAAACAAAAGCCGCTGACATGGCACCAGATGCCGCAGCACTTCAAGTCCAAGGAACAGAGCAGAAGCGACGGGGCGCCGAGGAATCAGCGGGCGAAAGTTCGAATGGAACTTAAGATTGGGAAATGGCCAACTGTCGCCAGTTGCTTACTTACGGCATTGTCCTTTTAAATTTGATTTTATTAAGCCATTTGCAAGTGATTCCACGTTGCAAATTAACATTCGAAATAGTGTTTATTTTGTTTTTGACAGGACGCACACGCAAAAAAGAAAAAAAGAAAAGAAAAGAAATGAAAAGAAAAAACAAACAGAAACCAACAGCAGCGACAAACGAAAACAAGCTGAAAGTGTGCTGTGCCGACGGCGCTCGGGTCTGCCCGACTCGAAGGTACTCAGTACCCAAACGTTTATGATTCTCCTCCTGCTTAGGTTACATTTCAATATATAACCGATTCACTTAGTTCCGTTTTGAAAGAGAAGTTATACAAGAAGTTCGAGTAAGTAACTGTAAAAATTCTTTGCGAAGTAAAATGGCTAGTAAAATGAAATTTCTCTCTACTTTCTGCCAAGCAGTATTCTAGCTCAGAACTATTGAAAGATATAGCTTTTTAGCCCCTATTATTTGAAGCAAATCTAGCTGCAAGACAACAGATATGTGCCTCCAATGAGCATGGATATAGATTTATTTTTACTTCTCTAGAGGTAATGTCATTGTGAAATTTCGAGGCCTGCGCTCAAAAACTGTACAAATTACTGGGTATTTTCGATAAGCCAAGCCCTGAAAATGACATACAGATTCTGTTTGGGGCTTCAATAGAGAATGCCGGCCATAACTCGATCATTTCTATGTTTCTACCTCAGACTTTACAGATTTGCCCAACCTCCAATGAGCAGAGATATAACCGCTATATCACTTTTATATTGATTCTTCAACCCAAGTATATATTCCACAGTTCAGGAATTTTTCACTATAATTGATATTTTTCAGATTTAGCAATTTCCCACATATTTCTCAAATCTGACTACGTTTTGGGATGTGGGTGTCTACGAGTAGGATCAAAATTGCAAGTCAGGTGCTTAAATAGCGGCAAAAAGATTTACGATTTCCCGGGCGGACTGACAGTCGTACGAAATCAAAAAGGCGGACACTACATAAAACCCGTATGCTCCTTTCCCTCGTAAATGAGTATAATAAAAAATACTTAGATGTTTTTTTTTTTTTTTGCTAGCTTTTACTTTTTACTGTCGACTGACCTTTAAATGTTTCGGTTGGAGTCGGAAGATAAGTTTATAAGGAAGATATTTAGGGTCCTTTAACCCAAAGGCCAGGCATTTTTTGAATCGCAGCCAACAAATTGATGGAAACATAGCCCCCTATGTGTATGTGCATGCGTCTGTGTGTGTGTGTGTGTGTGCCTACAATCAAATACTTGATGAACATATTTCCAACTGAGCTTGTTTTCAACCTGCAGGTACTTTTATTAACTATTTAACAGCCACATGAAATTCCGTTAACGAGGCAAATACTTGGCAAATTTGTAACACGCCAGACCCGGCCCCAGTTAGCTGTTAAGACTAGCATGAATTGTTTTTTGAGTTTTATTGCAGCACTTTAAGAACACCTTCGATGCAATCATTGCCAATAATTCTCTCTCTCTCTCTCTCTCTCTCTCTCTTTCTCTCACGCAGGTCTCGTTCTTCTTGTCGTCGTATGTGGCCCCGTTGACACTGATTTGCTTTCTCTATATGGGCATGCTGGCTCGATTGTGGAAGAGTGCGCCCGGCTGCAAGCCATCGGCTGAATCGCGGTGAGTTGAGGCGCAAGTTCACAAAAAAACAAAAATATTACGTATACGCGAAGTGAGCGATGCTCGAGCTTGGATTTGCTATTGGTATTGGAATAACGCGCCTAAGGGCGCCTTGTTGCCTGGTTGTTGACTTTTCACACAAACACACACACACACGCACACACACACACACAGATACACGTGTGCACACACAAATGGAGGCGACTGCACCTGCCCCATACGCAATGATGAATGTCCTTTTACTACGCCACCGAGTGGAGCCGTTCGTGGCCGCGGCTCATAAATTTTTAAGCACTTTTTCCTTGACTTTCCCCCCACTCTCTCCCTTCCCCCTCTCCCTCTTACTTTTGCTCTTGTTTGTTTGTTTTTCAGCCCACTAACTCGCCGAACGAGCGCTTTCATTTCGCTTTTCGACTTGATTTTCCAATTTTCATTTGTTGCACGCCCAAAAATACTTGATTTTCTTTCACATTTGTTTTACAATCTGAACTTGCCATAATCGTAAATAATTAACTCCGGCATAACAATCGAGAGTAGACGGTTTTATTGCCCCACAGCTGGAATCGCACGAGCTGAAGTGAAGTCTCATTTATTCTTTGGCTGGCATTTCGATTTTAGAGAAATATACAAATTTGAGTTCTTTTCATGGTATTGATAAGGAATATCAACTCGTACACCTACGGTCAATGTCTGTTAGGGCCTTTGAGCATTTGAAGAAATGAAAGTGAAAACTCAAGTGATAAGAGCATGAATCTTAACGCACTCTCATCGTGCTCAAAATACATTTCAATAAACAACTCGAGACAGCCGGGAGTTTCTCTTGGATTCAAGTCTATTTGCTTGAGAATTTAGCTTAATAAATATTAATCTATTAAGCTTTCAGCTTAATAGATACAGAATTGTTTCATATGAATACTATAAACGCCGACATCTCAAATTTGGATATGGACAAATGTACCATCAAATCTCTTTGAGTATTTTTTTTTTTGTTTTTTTATAATTGTTTTTGTTAAAAGTATGTAATAGGCAGAAGGAGGCGTGGCAGACCCTACAAAGTATATATATTCTTGATCAGGGCGACGAGCTGAACCGATTTAGCTCTGTCCGTCTGTCTGTATGTTTGAACGCGTCGATCTCAGAAGATATAAGAGCCAGAGACTTGAAATATTTTTCCTAGGTCCGTGTATACCACGTGCATATCGAGTTTAAATATCGATAACTTGCTCCGTCACTTTGTTATCGATTACAAAAATGATCGAAAACGAGTAATAAATTTATATCTCCGACATCTTTATAGCTAGAGTCACCAAATTTTTAATGTAGATTTATATGTACTTTGTGGAATTTCGATTTTTGTCAAAAAATGTGTACAGATATTTTGGGACAGTATGACATGCAATGGCAGACAGCTTCCAGCCTCTAAATGTGTGCATTGACATAAGAAAATGCCTAATGTCAAACAATAAATAATAGACGTAAGATTAGAGTAAAATTGGAGCTACAGTGACGAGCAAAACTGTAACACGAATTCAATGTTGCAACTTCAAGAGTCTATATTTTTGCTTCTACTCTATGGATGTTTAAGATCTTAATTTTATTTTGTTAGTATGATATTTATCTGTCTTACCTGAAAATTTGAAATCATTCGGTTGGCTAGAATAATTATAAGAAATAAAAATGTAAAGAAAGTCAAATGTTACAGTTTTGCACCCTGATCATTTTTCAACAAATATATTTATTAATAATTTTTTAATAACTAATGCATAGCTCTTTTGACTTTTTTTGGTCATTAATGTCATTTGCCATCATTTTTGTGTACCGTCCCACCATTTAGCAAGACTCGCGCACCAAATGTCATTGTTCCTCTCCCATAGCTCTATCATTTCACTTGGAGCCACCTATAATTCGCAGGCTGCAATTTCAAATGACTCCGTATATTTTCAATGATATTCATGTCTGCAGAATATTCAGGACACTCAAAGGACTTGAATCCTTGCCATATTGTCCACTTTTTGACCAAATTAGACGTGTTCTTTGAGTCATTGCTCTGCATTTTTCAGTAGTAAAACCCATATGTTCACTTAATTCTCCCAAATTCATTTGTAAAGTGATCAGGTACTATCCCGAAACATTATTCCATCGATTAAAACCAAGAGTTCCAGCACAATCTTGGTTTATTCTCCCCTAAACCAAAAGAGAGCAGCCACCGCGCTTGACAGTTTGCCTTACTCTACTGTTACAGTCAACAGACTGAACTGTGGGAGCTTTCAGCTAATGCCAGAATTGTCTATATGACTTGAAACTGTTAATATGGTCAGATAAAACAATAAACAACCATTTTGAGTCATATGGATAATCTTGACATTAGCATAGAGATTCCACAGTTCAGTCTGTTGACTGTAACAGTAGAGTAAGGCAAACTGTCAAGCGCGGTGGCTGCTCTCTTTTGGTTTAGGGGAGAATAAACCAAGATTGTGCTGGAACTCTTGGTTTTAATCGATGGAATAATGTTTCGGGATAGTACCTGATCACTTTACAAATGAATTTGGGAGAATTAAGTGAACATATGGGTTTTACTACTGAAAAATGCAGAGCAATGACTCAAAGAACACGTCTAATTTGGTCAAAAAGTGGACAATATGGCAAGGATTCAAGTCCTTTGAGTGTCCTGAATATTCTGCAGACATGAATATCATTGAAAATATACGGAGTCATTTGAAATTGCAGCCTGCGAATTATAGGTGGCTCCAAGTGAAATGATAGAGCTATGGGAGAGGAACAATGACATTTGGTGCGCGAGTCTTGCTAAATGGTGGGACGGTACACAAAAATGATGGCAAATGACATTAATGACCAAAAAAAGTCAAAAGAGCTATGCATTAGTTATTAAAAAATTATTAATAAATATATTTGTTGAAAAATGATCAGGGTGCAAAACTGTAACATTTGACTTTCTTTACATTTTTATTTCTTATAATTATTCTAGACAACCGAATGATTTCAAATTTTCAGGTAAGACAGATAAATATCATACTAACAAAATAAAATTAAGATCTTAAACATCCATAGAGTAGAAGCAAAAATATAGACTCTTGAAGTTGCAACATTGAATTCGTGTTACAGTTTTGCTCGTCACTGTATGAAAATATTCTAATTTCTTATGTTGCTCTGTAGAAAATAGAACAACTGGAAAGTAAAACAATTTTTATCGGTCCCTTATAAGGTCTATCTGTAAGTAAATCAGTCGGCAATTATATAATTCCTGGAATGTAAGCAATCAACAGAGCTATGCATTGTTCGCAATGCATTTACCATAGACGTGCACAAACGGCATTCATGTTCAATCAAAATGTTATTTAATCAAAAAATATCTGCATGTATACAAAAGAAATTCAGGGTCAGGAAGCTATAAAGTACCTGGCAACGGCAGAACAACAACAACAGAAATGAAAACAAAAAAGAAATGCAAAGGATGCCATACAAAGTGAACAAATAAAATAATGGCATTCGTGACTTTGTGAATCGCAAAACACATTTTCAATTGCGCTTTTAAGCCATGAACCCATTGAGTACGCCCAGCAGGGGTATATCAACTTGTGAATGCACTTAGACAACTTAGAGAGATATATAGAGCATATAATTATATTTAAAGCTGAATTAATTATCGCATAATGGGCTATTTAATCAATTTCATTTAATTTAAATTTAATCTATTTAATCAATCTGCTTATAATAAAATCAATTTAAATTACAATATATTATAGGGTATCCTTTAGTTCAGCAACACTGGCCGCTGCAATCTTATTTGCTATTTTGCCGTTCAACCTTAAAGCGCGCCACACGCTGCGTATGCGTGATGTGCTGCTTTGTCGCACCCAAATCAGAATTCCAATTCCGCATTATGCCTGCATTACGGCCGCACAACATTCGATTGTAGACGGTGTGTGTGTGTGTGTGTGTGTGTGCGTGGGCGTGGCCGTGGGCGTATGTTTATAAATGAGTATTTCTATTTACCTACAATGCACACATACAGACAGTTACACACAGCACATACACACGCACACACATACATATAGAAAAGGGCATCGAATCCATATGCAAATTGCTCATACGCCGCGTGACGCATTCGTGCATTCGTGACGCTAGCAAACGGCCCGATGCAACAATGCATTGGCCGGGTTCATAAATCAGATGGTGTATGCCACTATTTAAATATTCTTTTTTATAGACTTTAGACATCTACATGCATAATCATGCAGGCCTATCGGATATATGTACATATATTTATAGATAACCTCTTATCTCATCTTCTCTCTTCCAGCAAGGGCAAGCGACGCGTTACACGTATGGTTGTTGTTGTGGTCCTCGCTTTTGCCATCTGCTGGCTGCCCATACACGTGAGTAGAACTAAGCCATAAGATCAACAAGGGTATACTAAAAGTCTAGTATCTATAAGGCCTTCCTAGACTATCTTAGCTAGAAGAATGAAATGAGTCTAAGCGGCCTATTGATGAATTGATGTAGTGATGTATTGGTGTATTGATGAATTGGTGTATTTAAGTATTGATGTATTGATCAATTGATGTATTGATGAATTGATGTATTGATGTATTAATGTATTAATGTATTAATGTATTAATGTATTAATGTATTAATGTATTAATGTATTAATGTATTAATGTATTAATGTATTAATGTATTAATGTATTAATGTATTAATGTATTAATGTATTAATGTATTAATGTATTAATATGTTGATACATTGATGTATTGATGTATTAATGTATTAATGTATTGATACATTGATGTATTGATGTATTGATGAATTAATACATTGATACATTGATGTATTGATGTTATAATGTATTGATGTATTAATGTATTAATGTATTGATGTATTAATGTATTAATGTATTATTGATATATTGATGTATTTATTAGCCCATCTATGGGTAGGCTGATAGCTTGACTATAAATAACATTTACTGTCATTACTTGTTTTGAGTCGTCCTCTTCAAGGCTTACGAACAGACAGTTTCAGGCAATGCTTTAATGAAGCTTCACAGGATCTGCAGGAGTGGGAGCAACTGTATTGAATTACACTTTGTAAGAGCTCGTCTTATTTGAATCAGTTTGTTTGCAAAATATTCTGCAAGCTCTTGTGGCATTTAAAACTCGCCTACTTCAAATTAAAGCGACAGCAGCTGGAGCTGTGGCTGTGGGCTATGCCCCGGCTGCTGGGCAAACAGAAATAGAACACAGAGAAACCAAAGACAAGAACTGGGTAAATAGTGAATGGTGAATACACTGGCAGAAACTCGAACATACTCGGCGCAATTGTGAGCGTCATTAGGCGACAAATTGACATTTTCTCTTAGTAAATGGTCGCAATTATTTGCTCGAGTGTTGAATAAGCAAAAACGCAGCTGACATTTGCCTCGTTTGTGGAAGTGTTTGCACAAAATCAATGCGCTTACAAATTGCAAATGCAATATACAAATTGCAAATCAGAAGAACCCACACACACACACACACACACACACACACACACATACTGATATGGTGGCAGACGGAAACGGAAATAGCTGCGTCTGTGATTGATATGGAGAACGGGAACTAATGATGTGCAGAAATTGCGAAACGTCGTATCTCAATGCATTATTGCCTGTTGCAGGTCATACTGGTACTGAAGGCGCTCAACATGTACGGCGGCACCCATTTGACAGTCATCATTCAAATCATATCCCACGTGCTGGCCTACACCAACTCCTGCATCAATCCCATACTCTACGCCTTTCTCTCTGACAACTTCCGCAAGGCTTTCCGCAAGGTAAGCGAATTTCAATTATTAAAACTAATTTTCAGTTGATTATAAAGCAATAAAAAATTAAATGAAATAAAAACATTCTAAACAATTTAGTTGAATTCATAAGGTTTTTTTTTTTAACTATGTGACGGAGAAGAGCTTTTGAGGAAACGGTGATCAGACAAACAGACTACAAAGAAGCAGACGACAAACGAACTATTGAAAAGATGAACAACTGTAGAAACGATCTGACGGTCGCACAGTGGGGCCTTTGCTCATTTTGCGTGGCAAAAATCATAACTTTTGAACCAAGCTAGATATTTAAAAAATGACAAAGAATTTTATTAACAGGTTGCTTCACAGTTTAACCTCAAACATGAAAAATTAGTTTTTTGTCCTAAAAGGCATGTTTTTGTATGAAAAACTAAAACATTTTTTGTTGAAATTGATTTTTTTTAATTATTTGCAATAAATATGACTATTTGAAAAAAAAAAAACAAAAACAAAAACAAAAAAAATCGTGAAAAAAATTCGTCTACTATCCCGTATACTAATTCATTTTCATATGGAATTAATTTTTTTTTAATCGCTTCAAGTCACTTTTCTGACTTTTGCCACGCGACGCCTGCAGAGGCCCCACCGTGGGTTGGTCAAATTTGATCAAATTGACATACGAACAGCAGACTGGGGAAGAGACATATGGAAGTTAAGAAAGCCTACAAGATAGCCGGAATTAATGAAGCAACGGCTAAGCAGATGATCCGTCGGACTGTAGGTCAGATGCTTAACTCAACCGCTGGACGGATAAATTATGGGCCAGTGAGACAGATGAATAAGCAGTTGGGCATAGCAGTGAAACCACTACCACTACCAAATCCGTCAAATAATCGGATGGTCTGTCGTACGGACAAAGCGACGGAGAATCATAAAGATGAATTTATATTTAATAATCGGAATAAGTATAACGATCGGGGTAATAGAGGAAAATACGAATAAACAGACGGACAACAGATGGACAATAAACGCTCAACAGACGGACAACAAACGGACAACAGACGGACAGCAGGTGTACGGACGTAGTATTAATGCATTGAAAACCTATCAGCATAAGCAAAACGAATTCAATAAATTTGGATTAGCTTATTTATCCTACTACACATTTAGTTTACTACAGTTGGGTAATTTAAACACAATATCATAAATCATTACTAAATATAATGTCCATTATATATATAGTAATTATATATACACCTACACATCCCCTTTCAGGTCGTCTGGTGTGGCAGCCCACCGCCAATTGTGACCAACCAACAGATGACAAAGACCACGCGAACTGCGACCGGCAATGGCACGTCCAACATAGAAATGCTCTAAGCTGGTAGGCGACACTAACTAAACAAAGTTATTTAGAATGCTTAACTAATGCGCACTCTTACTCTCCCTCCCTCTTTATCCAAATCTCTGCAGCTGACTATTCTGGAATATAAATGGATCATTTGTGCGCAGTGCGACCACAAAATGCGATTAAACAGTTTTTAACTAAAATTAATGCAGTCCAGTTAATGCAAATATTACACGATATGCATATTTCATATAGCTGCAGAACCGTTATATGATTTCGCACACATACGGCTCACCCCGTTGCCTGTGTTTATTCGGAGTTTTTTCGCCTTTATTTAAATGAAGTCGGAAAACGAGTTGAGTGAAATGCGGAATGTTTTATTGTTGGATCCGTCGGAATGAATGAAAATGTTAAATATAAATGGAATGCTTAAACTGAATTAAAAGAGCAGTATATGTATATATATGTATATACCACATTCTGCTTCTTTCTTTGATCGTCAACTGTAGCAAATATATAATGACATCACTCAGAGCTTAACATAAATACGATATTTGAACATGTCTCAATTCATTTATAGGAGGAAACAACAAAAAAAATAAGAAATATACTAATATATATTCGAGGCTATATAGAGGCACCCATAGGTGATTGTAACTCTTATATGGCGAAAGTCAAGATCTTCTCAAGAAAAAAAACGAAATATTTTTGTTTTATTGATTTCCATTCAAATAAACAGGAATAAACTTAATTTATACTCAATATTTTTTCTCTGGGAATTTTTGTAATTTAGTTTACAACAGTAGACTTCGAGGTTTTCAGGCTGAACATAAATTAAAATATAGAAAAAACTTCATGTAAACTATTAAAGTTTTTTTTTTCCTCACGGCTAAATGAAAGGAATTTATTTCATGACAATAGACTTTAAGGTTTTCTAGAAATTTCAAACAAATATTATAAGAGACATTTTTATAAAAGCATTTTCTCTATGATTAAGCTCTGTCACTCTCTCAGTTGACATCAGATTCAGACAGCTAATTAAACTATATTCACAAAAAATATCTCATTTATGTATATAATTCATTGCCATATCATTTCATTTGACAAAAAAAAAAGGAAAAGAAAAACTTATAATACGGAAATAATTCAGTTTATACAACTAAAAACTCGTGAAATTAAGTTAATTGTAGTACATTTAAAAACAAATGTGTGTGAATTTACTTAAATGCGTGTCTAAATGTATTGAAAAAAAAATATATATACATATTTAAAAAAGAAATTAAAATGGAAATTGCAAATGAAATTTAATTTACAGTAAAATGAAAAGCTGTCACATTAAACTAAACGCAGATAAATGTAGGCAAATAAAGCAAGTATAATCGATGCAGACGGGCGTTACCGACTGCAGAATACTCATTCACGACCCAAATGTTGCCAGATCAATTTGTTCCCCAATAGGTAAATCTAGGTATAGAACTGTAGAATATATTGTTTTATCCGATTTTCCATCAAAGGTTCTCGATATATCCGAGAGATCTTTCTGAAATTGTATTCTCAGCCCAAAAATATATATTTTAAATTTCAATTCTACAGCACTATCAAGGCACTATTCTGAAATACCGGAAAGGGCATTTTCTGATTTTCAACGCCCGGGAAAAGTCTCGACACTATATAATTCCGAGTATTTTAAACAAAATTCCAGTTTCCAGCTTCAACAGCAGCGACATGGATGGACAGACAACAAGACGGATATTGAAGATAACCAATATACTTTTTTCACATTCGTGAATGAGTAGAATAAGTACATGCAAATGCAATTTAGAGTTAAAAGTCAGACAACATAAATGGGAATAAAATGAAATCACTGGCAAATTGCATTGCCTGAAAACTAAACCAAAAATGTTAATTAACAGAAATTCCTGTGTGTCTATCAACTAGTTTGAAACGCTTCTACTCACTCTTAAGTAGTCGTAAGTAAGCATACAAAAATTACATATAATATATATGTGTGTGTGTATGTATTTAACGGAAGGTTTGCAAATGAAATGTGATTTATGAAAGGAAAGAGACAACTATATAATAGAGCTCGATCACATTTATGGTTCAGTTGTAATAACTATAGCAACAATAATTATTGGCATATATATATATATACAACATATATATCGATATATTTAATTAAATAAACATTGTTCCATTGGAATTGGTGTTCCTATGAAAGAACGAACCAAAAGCAGGCTAAACTCTGCAATAAATTCAAATTCAAACATAGTCCATTAAACAGTTAGTAGTAAAATATAGAAAGAGAAGAAAACAAAATAAACAATTTATTTATATATACACATATAAATATATATATTTCGTAAGTGTATAAACCATTAATAGTTACTAGGCTCCATAATGCTATGTTATATGCATTAAGAGATTAGCTTAGAATGCATTAAGGGACGTCAAATTCAAAGTCCATTTGAAATTTCCATGCACGAGTATTTAATCTAACGACATGCTCAATATTTCAAATATAATTTCAGTAATAGTTCTTTTAGAGCCTTAAAAGTAAAGTTTGAAAAAAAAAAAAAAAATTAAAATAATAATAATTTCGTTTATAATTTTTTTTTCACAATTTTTAATTTTTGTACATTTCCACATTTTTGAGAGCCCTTATCAGAATTCAATCCATATGCCATCTCAGTTCGACTTACGCAAATCTTAACCAATCGAACGAATCAACTGTTTGAGCTGAACTTGCATAAATTCTTTGAAAATATTTTTATTTGTTTTTTTTCTTTTTTCAAATTTGAGACGAAGGGTCCGTGGCATCCCCATACTAAATATTACAAAATCTAGAATTTAGAAATTACGCTTAAAAGTAAAATTATCGATTATTATCGATTATAAGGAAATGGGATAATTTATCGAAACAAAGTATGATGAACTTGTTCTGCGGATGGTATACATGATTCTCTTCAAGTGTTTAGCTTTACGAGATCTCAGTATTTTGCACGAGCATGGTTATATATACTTTATGAGGTTTATCAGCCCTACTTCTGCCTATTACATACATTTTTATCGACCCGAATTACGTCTCCAATAAACTTGAAATTTCAATCGCTGTTATCATTTTGATTGCCAATTCTGAAATTAACAAGATTTCTAAATTGGTTAAAATTTCGTTACTATTTCGAGAAGCCTATAATCAGAGTTTAACGTTAAAAAAAAAAAAAGATGAAGCCCAACAAAAAAAAAATTAAGTGCTTAATTTACAAATTTTAAATTAAACAAAAACCAAATAAATAAATAATTATTTATTTCATTTTAATTGTGAATTATTTTCAAAACACTTCATTTAAGGCAAATAATTTATAATATGTAATAATACATAGAAATAAGCTCGGGCCTAAGAAATACAAAATTGTATTACAAGTTTAGGAATTAAGTGAATATATAATTGAATTAAGTTGATAAAATGATATATTTATAACGATTGAAATAAATTTGGATTTGAAGTTTGCAAGGGTGTTATATATTCGGCACTATAAGTCAAAATTATTTAGCAAAAATATATTTATATATATATATATATATATATATCTTTTTTTTATTTTTAAAAATGAAGAAACAAATAAAATATATTTGCATACATGATGTGAAACACAAGCAGATCATATAAGCATGTTATGGAAAATATCTGAAAGCATATTTGTACTAGCCAACAGGATTCGGGAAAGCGGGAACTGGAATTGTAATGAAACAACGAGAAATGATGGTATATCTATATATAATTTATAAAGCTCGCAAATAACTTTGTCCGTTTTCCTTTAAGAAAACTCTCGGAGATAGCGACGGTTCGTCATTGAGCTATTCGGCTTCATCGGCTCTGGGTTTTCCCCAATCGAATAGCCCAACTCACGGCGCTCAGCCGAAGACCAAAACGAAAAGAACCGAAGTCTCTCGATCAGAGCGAGTGGGCCTGAATATAATTCTTTCGGTAGATCTCGAAAGCAAAGCGTAATGAAACAACCGGTAGAAAGTCATTTGCGAGCTATACAAATTTTTTCTATAAAAGTATGCCTCTTTCTCTCTTTTGTAGAAGTTTATACAAATTTCTGTAGATTTTAGAAAAACTTCTTTATTTTGCAATATTTGATTGGAATATCTCAAATGAAAACTCATCTTCAAAGCTATTTCCGATTTCAGTTGCAGTTACACCATGTCCAAAATTCCATCCCATTTTTCATTAACTAAACTTAAAACCACATTTTGTTGGCTAGTCTTAAAATGCAACAAACATATATATATAAGTATATACAATAAATCGACATTTACATTTGACTATTGCATAAGTGTTAAAATAATTTTGTTTACCCACTTTTGTTTCGATCGGTTTTGTTTTTTTTTAGTGTTTCGGCATTGCCGAACTAAAAATGTAGCTTATGTAAATTATATAGATAAATTAAGAAGAGCGTACGACGAAGACGAAGACAACTTGAGGATTTTGTGTGTGTGTTATTTGCATATATCGATATTTGTAAATGTTACCTACTGCATTCCTAGCACAGTTGTGGAATTGAACAATATTTGAATTGAAACATTTGCAAACCAACAATAAACAAATACAAATTGAAATATTGTAGATCTAAGCAAAACTTAACCAGAAACAAAAAAAAATAAAAATAAAAAAAAAATCTAAAAAAAAGTAAAGAAGAAGTTGAAGAAAACTACAAAGGCTACAAATGTCTAGTCACTAAATAAACAAATACAGAAATGAACAATTTTTGGATTGATTGTAAAAATTTTAAATAAAATACTTTTTTTTTAAAGTAAAATATAAAAATAAAAAATTTGCAACCCATATTTAAATGTATGTGTAAACGTATTTATAGGGTATTCCAAAGTTTGCATAATAAAAACGTCAGCAAAAAATTAAAATACAATATAAGAAGAAGAACAACAAGAACAACAACAAAACACAGGGCAATTTTCGAAACTAAAATGAAAATGAAAAACAAAGCAAATTGAATAATTGTATTTAACTATGAGTGTTTGTACCAACACTTTACTCTTGTGTTAATTAAACGTATACTACAACAAATATGTACCAGCTGCGTATAAATGGAAATAAAATCGTTTCACTCTTTGGAATTTAACTAACATTTGCATCACTCTTCTCACATGCATCGAAAAAAAAAAATAAAAACAATTAAGGGGGTTGCAGTCAGGTGTTACCGACTGTAGAATACTCATTCATAGCTCAAACGCTGCCAGATCCACTTTTCGATTTCGATTATTTTTTGTAAATCAATAGCGGTTGTCGTTGGAGTTTCTAGCTCTAAAACTGTAGAAGATACTGTATACAATATATCCGCCATATCTTATTGAACTTTGGGTGTCAATGCCAATCTACATTCCGAATTTCAACTCTTTAGCACTTCACATTTGGGATATCAAAAAAAAATAAAAGGTATTTTCCGATTTACCACGCCCTTACTGGGTGGATAGGGAAAATCTTAACACGTTCCGAATTTCAGGTCTCTATATTTATGCGGATAGACGGACGGACAGCAAGGCGGACTTTGCACAAAACCAATATACCCATTTCACTTATGGGATTGAGTATACAAACGGATTGGCTTTAATTGGCTAGCTAATTGATTGATTTAATAGGCATTTACACAACTACTTCTATGAATTAAAACTGGAAATGTAAAAACGGTTTTATTGTCTTTCGAATTGAAAGACTGATTGATTGATTGAATGAAGAATTGAATTAATTAGAATTCAATTTGTGCCTATACACAAAAGAACTGAAACCTTATGCGTATAAAAGTATATAAATATGGGAACCATTTCACTCGACCAACTGATTGAATAACTAATTGATTAATTGATTGATTGATTAACTTTGGGGAACTTATAATATATTCGTTATTACGCTCATACATCGAATCATGGCAGCATGAAAAGCTTTGCTAGGCTCATATTGAGCAATTGATGGATTGATGAAGTACTTAAATGACTGCTTGGCTGGTTTATTGAACAATTGATTGAAAATCGTGTTGATTGAATGGTTAAATGTATGTGATTCTGTCATTGATTGATAGGCAGATCACAGATTCATTGCTCAACTAATTGACGCCGTGATTCTTCTGACTTGGCTAGCTTATTGACTCAAGTAACTGCCTGAACAGCACTTCAATTGACTAAGAAAACTTCCTGACTGACTGATTGATCAACAAACTGTTCGATTGAACATGTAAATGAGATTAAACTGCTTGAGTGACTGGCACAACCTGTATGATGATCAATTCTTTGCCAGATTGAAAAGCTTAATTCCAAACGAGAACCTAGAACCTTTCAGACAATTTAACTTCGAAAACTTGTGTTCTACTGCAAATTAGTTTCAGCATTGGCGTTATAACTAAATATTACCTCGTTTCTTCTTACCCACATAATGAATTGAAAATCTCATCTAATGCATTGAGATAATAAAGAAAGAAAAATAAGCACTGAGTCTATTTGAAACTCCCTGAAATGAACTAACGTTCAGCTGTTGCAATTTCACTGGCACTTGCTCTAACAACAAAGACCGATAGATGGTGCCCCAGAATATCTGGATGTACCATCTTGAAGAGGTCCCAATGCAGCACTGAGCCACAGCCAGCACCGAAACCAGACCAAAAGGCAAACAGAACTCCACTCGACTTGCGACCTGCGCAGATCTTAGCTATGTAAATTGGCAACACGTGTAAACAGCGACATTATTTAGTTAAGCAATTGCGTTGCTCTGGACACTGCCCCACTTGACCATTCCGCTGCTGCACAGTGGCACAAAAACTATGCAAATGCGCGTGTAATGACTATGATAAACATAACCTGTGGTCTTCATATGATAATGAGAAAAAATATTAATATAAATTCATTTATAGCTACAAAGTTTCTTGAAGAAAACTTTCGATATATGTTTGATAGTTTTCATAGCTTGGGTAGAACAGCTCGTGACAACAGTCGCAAAGCTTCAGTCGAGGTGTCTTGGGCTTGGGAATACTTCAGTGTAGTTTCCATTAACAAAAAAAAAAAAAGAACACTAATATCTCCAGAAATCAGAACTTCTGTATTACAAAACGGATTTCTATCAAATTTCCAGCATACGAACTACATACATCTTCTATTGAATATTAGAAAATTTCGTAAAATTAGAAATCCATTCAGATATTCGCTATAATTGCAAGTGAACTTCATCTAAAGCTTATATCCAAAGACAGTAGAATCCCGATAATTCGATTTACACAGAAATTCAAATTATTGAGAATTATTGAGAACGAATTTCTTTCAAGGTCTATCGAGACTCGACTGTATATCAAAAATTCTTAAAATGCACGTGAAGTGAATTTCGATAAAGATTCTATTTGGAATACTTCAATTATTTGAAATAAATTTACTGTGTGAGTTCTATAGGTAGCTAACGAAGGCCAGATAACACTTTCTAGATCTAGCTATATACCGAAAGCTAGACACCTTCACTGATAGATTCTGAGATTGACGCAATTAAGCACACAGACAATAAAATAGATGGACCTATTGACAGACGGACAGATGGACGGATTGATAAACACGTATAGAGGTACTGGACTAGATCAGCCGAGTCGACTTCTTTCTGATTCCATTCATACCCAGGCTCCAGAGTAGACGCGTAGAATGACATATACTCACGTTTTGAGCTGACCAAGTAGGCGTTAGCTCTCTACTCTCGAAACTCAAATAGGCTGAGTCTCATTGTAGTCGTTCAGTATTGCAGTGTCGCTCTCACTGTAAACTGCCTAGTTGAAATAATATTTATAATATTTATATATTTTTATAAAATAACAACATAAAACGAAGGGAGGTTAAGCCATGCCGCAGGTAAGTTTTGAATGGGCTTCCATGGTAAACGGCCTTGATGTCTATCTTATGTGCTGTGGCAGCGACCACGGCTTAAGGTGCCCCACTATGGCATGGGACGCAGAAGCTCGATAGTTACAATGCTGCAGACAATTAAGCCATGCATCGTGGAGTACGCTTATTTTTGGGAGAGCAAGAAGAACGAAGAGAACGCCGGGGTTGGGGAGATTCTGTCAGGATCTGGCACAGAAGACAAAGAAGTGACAGCCGAGCCGCAAATGCCGGCCAAGGCCAACAAAATTAACATCAAGGTAATGCCAACCAGGAACATTTGGCAAGAGCGTCTAAAGCATGGTAGTAAGCACCGTCTGCCCACAATAGCGGCGGTTAACAAGGTATCAAAGGATTGTATCGATAATTCCAATCAGGTATTCAACTCACTCTCTATCCATATATTTACAAACATATTTATATCTATTTGAATGCGATTTCTCTTTTCCGCAGACTGAAAAGAAGGAATTCAACTTAACCGACGATGACTTCAAGCTTCTCTTGCCAATCAATCGCTATATCGACGACAAGCTGTGCCAGTACAGCCTGCCACAACTGATCGCGGAACTGACCAAGAATATGGTGGAAATTGAGATCATAAATGTGCGACCTCAATATGTGTTCATAATGCCGGAGCCACGTATGGCTTGGCGCATTGAAGTCGACCTCACGAACAATCCGTCGATCCAATGTCTGATTCGTGCCGGCATTTACCTTAAGGAGGCCATGGACAACGATCCGCAAGCACGATTCATGCTCAATGGATACGATCAGGAGAATCATCACATTGCTGTCGGTGCTGCTAGTGACCGAATGCCGCCAGCTGGCAAGGACGACACCATCAGGCGCCCCACTTCGTGGATGGCCAGGATTCCGCTCTTCTGGCCACACACTCCGGACCGTCTAGCGAAAATCGTTTTAACCTATTTCATTTTAATTTGTGTGATTGGCATTGTTTTCACTTTCTTCCTCTGAGAGCATCGTGTTCAAAAGTATCTGAGCTCAAGTAACATTAGGATCGTTATCAATGACTTGTTTGGCATTGCTCACGATAACGGAAGCCAGCTAGATATTTCGAGGCACAATTCTATTTCGAAATTATATAAATTTACAGCGCCGTATATGTGTAAATTTCAAATCAAGTTTATTGTTCGAATTTGTGAAATTGTAAATTGAATTTTGTTTGTCTAAAAATTTATATTAGATATTAAATAAAAAAAATTATGACAATGTCAAATATTACTTCATTTGATTGGCATTGGTATATCTTAAATCTAACCGTACGAAACTCTTAACGAATTTTTGCAATTTTTTCCTCAAGAATAAGGTTTAAAAATATACTTTTTTTCAAATCTGAGCTATATTGTATCTCAATTTTATACTTATTCGCGAAAGTGAAACGAGCATATTGGTTTTGTACAATGTTTGCCTTAGTGTCCGTCCGATTGTCAGCCTGATTTTCCATTCGGTTGGTTGATTGAATCTAGAGACTTTAAATTTTAGAATATTAGGAACATATACTAATATATGTAGTGTAAATATCGAGTATCCAAACTTGGGAAAGGCACTTTCCCATATCTCAGAAACCTTGGTAGTTCATGCAGAATTTAATATTTAACATTTTTTTTAAATATATTTTTTTTTTTCAATATTTTTTAATTTATTTGAGAAATTTATTAGATCTTAGCTCAATTTTTAGAGCTCATTTATCTTTTTATTTTTTAATATACGAATTTTTAATATCAGAGTCACTTAAAAAAACAAGTAAGAAGGCTCCAGTCGAGACTGCTCGACTAGGAGATACCCTGAACCCTCCAAACTGATATTCTAATCATTCTGGACTTCTTTTATGCACACATACATACACATGCACGTATAAGCACGCGCTCTGCAAACTGCGCAGCTAGCAGCGGCTGCGCTTGGGCTGCACTGCAGTGTGGGCAATATTATGAGAATTTATTTGTTGAATAATTTCTTTTGTAGACATACGATCCTAATGAAACTTTTGGAGCGTAATCATATGGCTAAAATGTGTGTACATTCCAAAGCACAAGTCTCTAGTACTTGAAATGCGTTTTTTACAAATTGGGGGCGAAGGGGGCGTGGTATCCAAAATCTGTAAATTACAAAATCTTTGTATCTATTAACTTTATATACAAAGCAAATTTGAAGTCTCCAGGTCTAAAAGTGTTCAAATTAAGCTGAAAAAACAATGTCGATTTTTCGATTATTCTCGATAAAAGAGTTATCGGACAAGTTATCGAAAAAATAAAGCAAACTTGTACTGCCTATGGTATACACGAGTATGCATGCCAAATTTCAGCTCTCTAGCTCTTATATCTTCTGAGATCCTTTTGCTCATACGGACGGACGGACGGACGGACGGACAGACGGACAGGGCTATATCGACTCAGCTCGTCGTCCTGATCAAGAATATATATACTTTATGGGGTCTGAGATGATTCCTTCTGCCTGTTACATACTTTTCACAAAACCATTATACCCTGATTTCCCATTTTCAATGGGTTCAGGGTATAAAAAGAGTCTTTTGTTATATTATTTTATTTATTGAAACTTTGTAATATTTTTTATAATGGATTTAATTCAACTATTATTTATTTGATTTGATATTAAAAATATATTTTAGATCCATCTCATCTAAAATTATAATCATGAATGATAATTTGATGATGCCTGAGCTAGCAAGAATTTACTTTTAAGTTAGTTTCGTACCACTGTAGCTGGGAAATTTATGGGATGTTGCTAGTGAATATCCAGGACAACACGCCCAAAGGACAATATGTGCAGATGCTGCTGGAGCGTTTGGGGCTCGCAGGATGCTGCGAAATTTTACGATGCACAAACAAAGAATAATCGTAACGTGTGAACTTTATGCTGTTTGGTCTGTGCGCCGCAGGTAAGCAGCCGCAGCCGCAGCCGCAGTCGCAGTCGCAGTCGCAGCAGGAGCAGGAGCAGGAGCAGCAGGACTCGTGCAACGTCCAATTGGCCTGCCGGTGTCCAGATAAACAAGGCAATAAGCGTCACGCAGGACACTTGTTGCCGTTGCTCCTCGTTAGCGGGCGCCTACAGCTTGCAGTTGAGTGGGCGTCTGCTTGGATTGCGCTCCACTTGCCTCATTAGTTCAAACATATATATATATACACACATATATATATATATATATATACATACTTTATACTACATATATAGAGTGTGTGTGGCCAATGGACGTTTCGTTTAATTATGCAAACGTGGGACCCGTTCGCCGTGTCGGTTATATTTCAAAACTGCTCTGCACAGCCAGCAAGCGGCTCAGTTAACCCGTGTCCATCGCGCCAGCCACAACAGCAGCCAGTGCTCCCAGTGCTCACAGTGCTCCACCAGCCAGGCATACAACACACAGTCTCCAGGCACCCAGGCACCCAAGCAGTCATGAGCCAGTTCGGCGGAGCAGCCACACGGCCACGCAATTGGACACTTCGTGGCGCCGTGCTCCTCCTGGCGCTGCAGCTGCTCCAGACCCCAAGCGCCCTGCAGCACACCGAGGAGGGTCTCGAGTTGCTCTTTCGCGAGCGGTAAGTCGATGGAGATCTATTGGCTCTCTGCAAAATGCAAAGCTAGCACAGGCTAAAGAGAGTATAAAGTGCTTTAGCAAGATACGACACAATCGCAATAAAATCAGAGTAGATAAACACATTAAGATGGTATAATCCTCAGTTTCTCGATATGGTATGTTTTTTTTTTTTTTTTTTTTTTTTTTTTTTTTTGTACCCTTTACTCATTAAAAATGGGAAATCAGGATGATGAGATGGTTTTCTTCCAAAGTATTTATCAAGCAACAGGAGGCGTGGCAAGCCCCATAGAGTGTTCAACATCTTCATCCAAGTGCCTAGCCCTGTCCGTTTCTCTGCCTTTCCGCCAGTTTATCTCTCCGTATGTTTAAACGCTCATAACCTATAAAAACCAAGAGGACTTGAACTGATTGATTGATAACTAGTTTGCTTAAAAAAAATCAGTGAACAATTTTTATCGCGTACTTCTTGAACTCTGAAACTCCAAATTTTAAAGTATATAGATTAATATGAATTTTATGATGATTTGTGAATAGGTTAATGGTTGAAAAAAAAAAGAACTAAATGAGTAAAAAAGTTTTTAATTTGTTGAGTCTAATTAGAAAAAAAAAAAAAAAATCGAATCTATTTTTCGATAAAAAATTTATTAAATCAACATATATATATTTTTTTTAATACTTGGATTAATCTGAAAACACTCATATTAATCGATAAAAAATTTATAAATTAAAAATATATTTATTTAATATTTGGATTAATCTGAAAACAGTTTAAGAATTTAGAATTGAAGAAGCAAAGAACTTGTTATTAAATTATAATAATTATAATAATAATATTACAAATATTAATTAAAATAATTTAATTATTTCTTTTAATAAAGAACTTTTTAATGATTTATAATAATTATAATAATAATATAACAAATATGAATTATAATTATTCAATTATTTCTTTGGATGTATGGAAACGTGCGCAGCTCACAGTCGGATTGGGAGAACGTTTGGCATCGGGAGACGCATTCGCGATGTCGGGACAAGCTGATCCGGCAGCTCTACTGGGCCTGCGAGAAGGACATCTACCGCCTGACGCGGCGCAACCGGAAGAGGGGCGGCGACGAGGCGTGGGTGAAGAGCAGCTCCAATCGTAAGTTACATAACAGTGAGAGAGAGAGAGAGAGAGAGAGAGAGAGAGAGAGAGAGAAAGATAGAGGGCGTGCTGCTACATTGTGAAATTGTGTTGACTTTTGCAGCTGCTGTGGGCGGTGCCGCCTCTACCTGGCTGCACGTGAACTATGCGAACATGTTGCTGCGCAGCAGACGCTCCGATGCGCCCTCCATTACCAACGAGTGCTGCACCAAGGCCGGCTGCACCTGGGAGGAGTACGCCGAGTACTGCCCCTCGAACAAGCGCCGCAATCACTACTGAGTGCCCCCGAGTTGCGCTCCCTAATATTATATACCCTATACATATAACATATATACATGCATATATACATATATATATATATATATACACGATATAACTATAATGGTTTTTTTTTCTCTCTATTTTTTGTTGTTGTTGTTTGTTCGTTGTTCGATTGTCTGTCGCGTCGCGTTTGAAGCTAAATAATAAATAAAATAATATATAAAGATATGTGTTTTTAACTGGAGAAGAAGAAGAAGAACTGATATGAAATCATCGATTAGTACAAAGGGCTTCTATGGGCTGAATAGGACTATAAATATACATATACAGTGCCGCTCATCTGAATATATATCTATAGTTATATCTTCTGCCCGAAGAGCCCGATTTGATTGAAATAAATTTTGTCATGCAAAAAAAAATCAATCAATTATGGTGAGGAAAAAATTTTAGATCTGTAGATTTGCTATCAAATATGATTTTTACGAGTTTTCGAGAACACGTCGACTTAGGAAAAGAATTAAAAGAACCAAAACTCAAACAATATAAAATACTCTTCAGTAATACTTAGTATATGCTCGCCTATACTATTTAATAACATGTGGGCGTCTTGATAAGCAAAAGCTTAAGAGTGGCCTGATACAAAGATCGTATACTTGCCTCCTAGGCACTTAATGACTGACAGGTAGTATAATTGAATGAATGAGCTTACCGATAGGAATACGTAAGAAACAAAATCTAAGCCTTGCAACTCTGCAATAGGCTAAGAATAGTCAATATCAATAATGACTCAGCAATAGACTTCAACTATGAATTTGGGCATGAATCTGGGTATAAAAGCTTAGGGTCAGAAGAATATTGCTGAATGCTGAACTTAATAAACATTTATCCACTACCGTTGCAAAGCTCAAGCATCACCCAATACTGTAGTTGCATAATTCTTAAAGCTACAGACCTACTTGATCTCTTCCTCTTTAAGAGTTCTTTCGCTCTCTTTGTTATCAATAACTTATAGAAACTATAGGTTGGATATACACGTATAACAGAGGTAAATAAAATATTCATACCTTTAGCGGTTTTATAGCTGAAATCAAATAATTTAGATAGTTGAGACTGTCTGATTCACCTATTGAGAGGTGAGAAATCCGAGACTCCAGGGGTTTGATGAATCAGTACAACTTTTTTTATACAGACCGATTGCAACGTAGTACGAAATATGTAGCTCAACAATATAATATATGAAGTATACACAATATATATATGATACTATATTCTCTCTATAATGTACAATATATATAAAGTATAATATATGCATATTGTATGTATATCATATAAGATACATATATTCAACATACTAGATATTATATGATATTCGACATACATAAATATATATAACGTTTTATATGTATATGCATTATATAGATATATGTACATATATGAATTTTATAAACATTGATACATAAATATGTATACAGAATACCATATATCACAATTTCAATAAATATAAAATACCCTATATTTAATGTTAAATATTAATATATGATAAGTACATACGATATACGGCATATTATATACACGATATAAACGACATACATATATATATCAAAATATATTAAATATATAATATGTATAATATACGATATATACAATATATGATATATAGTATATATACATACGATATATACACTATACCGATATACAGAATTAAAATTCAAGACATATGTATAACATATAAGTGCTATGGTATATGTATATCTTTTATATACATATATGATACCAATATACCACACATTAAATATATGATATTATATTACATTTATCAAAAGTTGACATAAATTTCTTATAAGAACCAAGATTCAAAAGAAACAAAATTTTGAAGATTTACACTTAGATAGATCAATGAGTAATACAAATAGAGCAGCTTGTTTGTGGGAAGAAATATTTTAATTTATAAATTTTGACTGTGAAATCAGATTAGATTTCGCACAATAATTAATTCTAATGGACAGATTTCCTAGTAAAACTCTGCAACCCATGATTATATATTTATATATATGTGGATATTAAAACATGGAAATATTTCCTTTTTGCTCTCTTTTGTTTTAGTTTTTTTGGAGGACAACATAAGATTGTTTTATTGAAGAGAACCAAGCGCGCGCACAACAAAAATCTATTCAGATACGATTCTTTTTTTGTATCACAGATGCATTATTCAATATCAAAGTCAAAGTTAGTCGAATTAAAACTAATATTAAATAGGGTTAAAAAAATAAAATAAAACAAAATTGTAATTATAGTGATAATAATACAAATGCGAATATATAAATTCAAATTGAATTTGGTTCTATTTCGATCGAAATTTGCTTCTCGCTCTAAAGGGGAGTATAACAATCTGATTCAGCTATGATCTGATTTGATATACAATCAAAATAAATAAATATATAACTCTATATATTCAATAGGTAAATACAACTCGTGTTCTATTCGCAGCACTTACGACTGCGACGCATATAAATATTAAACTACGCTTAAAAGCGACAAACTACTATAAAACGGTCTATATAGTATATATATATATATAGCATACATATCTATCGTATATCGCTCTATATTTATATATATATATATATATATGTGTGTGTGTATAGATAATCTGTAGACTGCTACGAGTCTATACCGTTATGAGGGAGAACACAGCTAAGTAATTGCCGTGGTACAAATGCGAAAGAGATGGCAACAGATCGCAACCGTGAGACTTCCGACTGAATGTCTGTCTATATGGAAACTGAACAGTCGGGCAATCGATTTCTATTTCAATTTCGATTTCAATTTCAATTTCGGCTATTGCAGTTGCCGGTGCTCGCGTCGTCGTCCTTGCAATCCTTGCGCGCCTTGCCGCACTTGTCCGTCGGCGTCGACTGGTGCTGCCGCTTGGAGCCATTCGCCTGCCCCTGCTCGTAGTGCTTGTCCAGCATCTCCAGGAGCGTCTGCTGACGCTTGCCCACAGCATGAGCTGGGGAACTTGTGGCAGCAGCTGCTGCTGCTGCTCCAGCTCCTGCTCCTGCTCCTGCTCCTGCTCCTGTTGCTGCAGTTGCTGCAGTTGCTGTAACTGGTGTGGTTATGTGATTGCTATTGCTGCTGGAGTTGCTGCTGGAGCTGCCACCGCCACTGCCACCGGCGCCGCCGCTGTCCAGACTCGCAGCCAACATCATGGCGTTGGCCTGCTCCTGCTCGGCATCGTCATCATCGTTATCCGACAGCACAATTCCATTGTTCTGCGAGCAATCCGAGTCGGCAAACAGATCCGGACTTTGCTGTTGCTTTGCTGCAGCTGGCGGCGCCACTGCATCCGCTGGCTTGGGCTGGGCATCGGGCACCTTGTGCAGCGCCTTCAGGCTCTCGAGCACGAAGGCATACAGAGTTCGGCCGGCGCCCGTCTTCTTGAAGGGACACAGCACGGAGTACAGCTGGTGCACGGTGGTGCCATGGGCACGGAAGATCTGCCAGAGCTCGTGCAGGTCATCCCTCAGCTGGCGATTGCCGAATGTGTAGTAGGCCAGCGGACGGCCATGGTGGGCGCAGACCATCATCTGGATGAGCGCCTTCAGGTGCGGATCGCCGCCGAAGGCGCCGCAGCCCCAATTGCCAGTGGCCACGCCCGGCGCCGGCGTCGACAGCCAGTGCCTGAAGCCAATGGACGCCTTGTTCAGCTCACGCAAAATGAGATCCTCGCGATACTGATGCGACTGCATCTGCTGGTCGAATCGTAGTGCATCGATGGCCACAATCGCCGTGTGGCGGCGCCGCGACTTGTCGTACGGCGTCCGATCCTCGTGGTTGCCCGCCCACACGAAGCTGCTCGCATAGCCGGTGTAGTTGCTGAAGCGCTCGCTGCCCACCATTAGCAGCGCCTCCGTGGAGAGCAGGCACTCGGTGAAGAGCTTCGAGATGAGCAGCTCCGGGCAGATGACGAAACGGATCTCCTCCTGCACGCAGCCGTGGCCGAGCACGCCGCCACCCAGGAACTTATTGGCAAAGTCCACCTGCAGCAGGCCAACGCCCTGATCCTCGATGGTGCCGCCGGCATTGATGTGCATGGGCACGCTGGCCAGGACCGCAGAGCTCGTGTGCCAATTGACCTCATCCTCGGGCTTCCCGCTGACGCGCATGAAGGTCAGGCAGCCGGTGGGCACATTGCTGGCATCCCGTTCCGTGGGACAGACGCGACGAAAGTAGTGGAAGATGCACTTCAGCTTCTCCAGCACCGCTGACCCGGTGGCCTGATAGAGTCTGCAAGAGAGAGGAGATACATTCGTTTAATGGCTGCCAATGCCACACAGTTCGCACCGCCTGTCGCCAAACCTGAGCCAGTTTACCTATTGAAGTTAATGTCCGGAAAATTGCCGTACTCGGACTTGCGCTTGAGCGTGTTGCGGCGCGGAAATGTGCATAGAAACGCGTTGGCCAGCAGGCACGAGATCTGCTCCTGTGTCAGTGACACGGCAGATGTGTGATTCTGCTTGAGCAGCGGTATTGGCGCCCTAATCAGCTCCGGCAGGCGCAGCGCCAGACGAATGATGCGCGGCAGCAGATCCTCGAAGAAGACACGCGACTCGCTCTCATCCAGCTCGTCGTTGAAGAGCTTGTGCAGCGCCCGGAAGCTCCATTGGTCCTTGTACGTGCTGTTGTACGTCAGAATGGCCGCCTCGAGCTGCTTGCTAGTGGAAATGGGACGCTGCAGCGCCCGCTTGATCATGCCCCAGCGCGACTCGATGTCCGAGGTGCCATCCTCTGCCGCGACGGGATATTTGCTCTCCGGTGCACAGGGCAGACGCACATGATCGGAGTCCCAACGATGTGCGCCCCGAAACGGACGCGGCGGCTCGGTCTCCGGCTCGCGAATCGGATGTCGGTAGAGCACCTTGTGCTGGGCGCCCGGTAGCACAGCGCCCAGGTGGTCCAGCTCGAAGGGCAACAGCCCGCGGTGCACGGCCTCGATGGGCAGGCAGCGCCAGTGCCAGGGCGTGTCCGATTCACCATCACTGCCTGCCACAGAAATAATAATGAATCATTAAATATGCAAACAGAAAATATATTGCAAAAACAAACAACAGCAAAATGCCAAAATGCAAAAATTTTCCAAACAATTCGCTGATTCGACGATTCGCCGCACTTACCCGCCGCCGAGTTGTCTGATGATGCCGGCGATGCTCTGCCGTCGACTGTGTCCTGCCTGGGCGCATCTATTTTCATGCTGTTATTACTCTCGCCGTCCATTGGATAATCAACGCGCGTGTTCTTAAAGTTCGCAAGATGTTTAACAAATTGAAAACGCCACAGCGTTGCCAATTGTTTTGGTAGTGTTGATAAGCGGCCACTAGACCTTAGCATTGGCCCAGCCGTTTTGCTCTGTGTATAATAGTATCGTAAAAAATAAGACGAACCGCTCAAAAGTCACTTAAATTGCAACTGCGAATCTTAATAATATATTGTATTTGCTTCAGTTTGTGAATTATGTGTATTTTATTTGCTATCGATATATCGATATGCTGCACTCTTTATGTGAGTACAAAAGCGCGCACAGCCAACTTCACGCAATTTCAAATTTACGTGCGCAAACAGGAGACTGTTATTATAAAAATGACATTTACAAAACTTTTCAATTGAATTACATCCGCGAATCTTTATTATGTATCGACATTGCTTCAATTTGTGAATTATGTCCACACTATTTGCTATCGATATATCGATTGCTGCGCTCTTTATGTGAGTGAAAACCCGCGCACAGGCAACTTCACGAAATTTCAAATTTACGCGCGCGAACAGAAAACGGCTTAGAAAAATGACAGTAGCAAACATTTTGGTATTTCTATAAAAACTTTAAATCAATTTTTAAAGAAATAAGTAACAGGGGCTTATATACATTTTTTTACACTTTTCTCACCTAACATTCAATAACTCTTCAGCAAATAGTTTTTGCTGATGTTTTCAAAAAAATTATCTCCTATGCGAAAACATTATTATAACATATATACATATATGTACATACATACATATTTATAGCATCAGTCAGTACATTTGTAAATTTGTTTATTTGATTAAATCATGCAAATTTCGTGATGCTGCGAAGTATAAACAGAAAGATTGACGAAAAGAGCAAGCGAAGGAGAGAGAGAGAGAGAGAGTCAATATGCTACGCCCCTCTTTTCGCCACGTGCAGTTAAGCGAACATATTGTTTGTTTTCTATGTTTTGCTCGTTCGTTCACTCACACCAGACCCAGAAGGACCTGCTTAGCAGCAAAAATCTACTTCCGCTGACATGAATAATCAAAACAGAGTATTCAATTTGTTTTGATTCGTTGGTATAATAATCAAATAATAGCCAGATGAGCGATTTTAGATCTTGACTTGAGTGCTAAAATGCTGACTTTTAATTTGATCACATTATTTTGAATGACACAGATGCAATTCTACAAAGATCTACTAGGCTGTGTGTGTGTGTGTGTTATTCGATGGAAGTGTGTTCGCAATGGCTGTGTGTGTGCATTTTAAGTGCTTTCGCAGAGTTCAACACACCTTTATCGCCGCCTAATCAGCCGCATAGGGTTAGCTGCGCAGTTACTATTGCTCAGCTGTATTTTGATTAGGAACTCTTTGGCTCTGCCTTCGTGCAAAGTCGCGCGTCGCGTCGCGTCGCAAAGTAGTCGAATGCGTAAACAAATGAAGATAGCAAAAGAAAGCAGCAACAAAATTATCACAATTAGTTTAGTCTGCTCTTTTTGCGTATGTGTGTGTGTGTGTGTGTGTGGGAAAGAGAGAAAGAGAGTGAGTGTGTGCGTCTGTATGTTTTGCTGTGTGTGTAGCCTTCAAGTCTACATCGCAGTCGCCTTGACCATAACCTAGAAATTAATGTACGTATTGTGAGAGCGCCAGAGATTGACTGTTTGCTTGTATCTGTGTAAGTGTGTTTGTGTGCACATGTACATATACATATGTATGTATATTTACGTCAGCTGCGCAGCAGCAAACAGGTACCATAGCGGCAGCGAACGCGGCGGCGTCCAATCAGGTGCCAAAAACAAACGACAACAGTGAAAGCAACAGCAACAAAGCGCCAGCATAAGGAAAGCACTCGCACACAAACACACACGCACACACGTGCATAGATAGAGAATGCGAAATGTTACTAAACTTTTCAAGGTCACCCCCAGTATGAACTACAAATCGTAGCCAAAGCCGATATAACGCTAACGTCGACGTCGACGTCGACGCTGACGCTGACGCCAGCGCGCTGCACTCAGCTGCAGGCAGCATCAAAAGCGTTTCGCGAGCAAACTGAAAATTCGCGGCTGTTGTTGTTTGTGCATAAGAAAAAATTATGAGTCTTGCTGTCTGAAACACACACACTCTCTCTGTCTCTCTCTCTAGCTCCCTCTGCCACGCTCTCTCCCTCTTGTTATCTTTCATGGAATCACATGATCCAAAATGTTTGTTTGACTGCGCTTAGCGCTGATCGAATGCATCCACTTTTTCGAGCTTCAACTGGTTTCTCATATTCTTGCAATATTCTTGCATAATAAAAAGCAAATTGGATAAACATGTGTACGTACATATGTACATACATATATACTTATGCATATATAAATATACATATGTACATATGTATGTACACTGACGTAATGATGGCGAAATTGTTGACATGATAAGTCAATATCTACATGTTTATGTACATATGTATGTACATACATATATATTTTCTAGATAAAGTGCGTATTTATTTGAACGTATGTACATACATATATATTCCTATGGGATCTATTATACAGAAGTACCAAAGCTAGATTACAGAACTCTATATTTGTTGTTTTTATTCATCTTACTCGAGCTAGTTTGGTATGCTCGTATTCGTAATTCCTTTGGGAATCCAACAAACCATAGCTCATAATTTAATTATATATGTATAACTGTAAAAATAGTCTACATTCATTTATTGCATTGTTCGTATACGATATTCGCTTTATATATTGGAATCCGCCTGGGGGAATCGTAACTCATAGTTCAATAATAATAATAATAATACTCTATATTTATTTATTTTCTCTTACTTTAATTTCTTTCAGAATCTGCCCTGATATGTCGTTTTTAAAAGGGAACTGCTCTACTACTATATATACTAATAGTATATAGTATATATGAACAATCAATTGAGATAGCATAAGAATGCTCCTAGGCTTTGTTTACTAGCTCATATAATCGTTAGATTTAAGTGTATATATTATATATTTAGTATATAGACTACTTAGTACACTATGAGCCTAGAGTACTATGAGCCTAGAGAGCTCATAGCCAGTAGAGCTCATCATTCTGAACTGATGAACTACTAAATTGCTCAAATGAACTGTAACGCTCAGCCGGGTAAACCGAGTTAGATTCACCGTTAATTACTTAATTAGCTTAATTCACTAAGCACTAAATTAGTTAATATGATTGAATCATTTTGAAGTTTTTCCATTTTGAAGCAAAAGTAATTAAATAAAAATTAAATAATGTTGATGTGAATATGAATATTTTCTAATGGCATTTTATGATATTTAAAATACTTAATTTGTAGGTGTTTCAGTCATCCAATGAGCATTGAGTAATCTCCAATAAGAATTTCACGTTTACAGTTAATCGCGTTTAAGCTTCGGATCACCCTGTATGCAATGCACTTTGCTTACGACGTATGTTAGAGTGAGATGGAGCTACAAAAGCTTTTAAGCTCAGCTGTAATTGTTTTGATTTGCTGTTTTCTTTAGGTTTTTGGGTTTATTTTGTTTTGCCGTTGGCGTTGGCGTTGTCGTTGGCGTTGGCGTGGGCAACAACAAAACCGTTAAATACTTGCGCCAAGTCGCGCGGTTGCCAATTTACTGTTGTGTTTGTTGTTATTGCCGTCAGGCCGTTTGCGGCTGCGACAACAAACAAAGATACGAAAAGGGGCAGCTATCGAATATTGCCTTCGATTTGCATTCTTTGCACTTTGCGTTTTCGCCTCGACTGAGCGCCAGAGAGGAGATTAGATGGACTGTTGAGAGTGTGTAAGCACACAAAGGCAAGTGGGCGTGCAGCTCAACAACAAAACAATGCAATTCACACACACACACACACACACACACACACACATGCACAGTCACAAATGCCTGCGTATCATGTGAATGTATGTGTGTATGTACATATGCATACTTACATATTTATGCACATACATACAAACATATACATATACAGACCGCAGCAGTTTGGCTGGCTGACAGCTATAAATAGAAACGAGCTGGATGGCAATGGTGACTGCGAGAGAGAGAGAGAGAGAGAGAGAGTGAGTGGGGAGAGTGGCCAGTGGGGAGTGCAGAGAGGCGCTAGGGGTCAACGCAAAGCTGAGGGCATGGGCTGAGGCGTGGCTGACCACGTGTTGCTAGGCGGGTCGCTCAACCCAACTGCGCTGCTTAGTTCTTCTAGCTGCTGCTGTTGCATGCTGCTATCATTATTCTAGTTGCTGCTCAACACACTCACACACACGCATACTCTCACGCATACACATGAATATTGATATAGACAAATGTGTGCAAGTACGTGTATTGCCCCGTTAAAGTTTCGCATGCGCGCATGACCTTGAAAATTTTACGTCGCGACGCGTCTAAAAACGGCTGCTGCTGCTAGCGCTGACGTCGACGTCGACGCCACCGCCGACAAGTCAACAATTTGTTCCTTCTACTTGTTTGTTGTCCGAAAATAAGAAAAATCGCAAATTGCTGATGACATTTCCACTCGCACATACATACATACATATATACATACATACATACATCTGTATAGAATATTATGTATTTACTTGCATACATACGTACATATTTATGTATGTGTTTATTACTTAAGTATGAACAAATTTCACTGTCCACTGAATTCGCTTCGATTGAAAAGTTTCATAAAATTCGAAGTCGTTTGTGACTGACTACATGATACCCTACACTTTTTTTCAAGTATTCAGTCTATCCAGGAAAACTGTATAGCATACGATTCACTCTACGCTTCTTTAATACATACATATGCATATAAATAGAGCTGACTCGCTGTAGCCCTATATGCCCGCCCGTCCGTCTAGTCGCATTCGAACGCTTCGATCCCAGGACCTATAAGAGCTATCGAATTGAAATTTTGTTTGTAGGCATCTGTATAGCACGTGCATATGGAGTTTGTTTCAAAAAATTCTGGTTTCAGTGTTATCGAATACAAACCTTATCAAAAATCAATAATAAGTTTATATTTCGTTTATCTTTAAAGCTGGAGTCAGTAGATTCAAATGAATTTTAATACAGCTTTTTATTTCTGTTAAATTTACTTTTTATTTCTTAAAAACTTTCTCCTAGTCTCTATATAGATATATACTTTCTTTTTTAATAGTAAGCACTTAATTATTGTTTGCTTTTAACATATTTCATATT